CCACATTAGTCACAAACCGCCGTGTTTCCGTATTTGGTGCCTTTTCTGTTTTGTTTAGTTCTTTTCTAACTTCCGCGCCTGTTGTCATGTTAGCCGAGTACAAAGCACTTGGTGGAAAACAGAAAAAACAAAACTGACAGAACCGGGTCCAGGGCGGGCGGCCGTCTGCCTGGACCAGCCGGGGTGAGGCCGGAGCAGAGAGAGGAAACAACAAGAACGGTGGGTAGATGTTAGTTAATACGATATCTGACCAAACAGGTGTTTAAGCATCTTCACAGAAATAATCTCCAAATACGTGTCATGTGACCAGGCGGTGTAGCTGGAAGCAGACGGTTGTTTGGCTGTAGGAAGGAGGAACAACTACGATGGAAAGTTAAGATTTGTCTAGATGGGCGGAGCGAGGTGGAGCTGATACTAAAGGTAGCACAGGTGTACGGCGGCCATGATGACAGGAAACACTGACCGGGAGTTTGACCAGAAAGTCCTTGGATTTGTTGGGTTTTCATGTCTCTTTATGTAAGGTCCTAACCTTAATGCTACATGAGTGCGATTAATCTCCATAATTATTAATACTGTTGGCATTAATATTTAGGTAAAGTTGTATTTTACAGTCTTTTGTCGGGTTTGTTTCTTTAATGTTCACTCGTGTAAATTCACACCATAAACACCTCTGAAGGGTCTTAACCTCAATATTTAAACTTGTTGGGTAAATTAGTTTTCTCTGACTTGCCTTGACTTGACCAATCAGTGAAGAACACGTAGTGACGACATGTCTGTGAAGGTTCTCCAGGTCATGGTTGTTCTCGTAGTTTAATCGTAGCAACTGCTTGAGTTCCTTGAAGACGTTCCACCTCTCATCCAAGAGGCTTCATCAGTTCCGACTGACTGGTTGGGAGATCCAGATAAATTAATGGATCCTTAAGGATATCAGTATCTGGATCTCCCAACCAGTCAGTCAGAACTGATGAAGCCTCTTGGATGAGAGGTGGAACGTCTTCAAGGAACTCAAGCAGCTGCTACGATTAAACTACGAGAACAACACATAGCGAGCGATAAGAGACCCAATCAGGAGGCCAACATGAGTGCTTGCATCGAAGCTTTCTAAAGTCTCCGTTTCTGTCAAAAGGTTTTTCATATTAAAAAAGGGTTCGGCCACTTCTCCAGAAGTCTACATTGTTGGAGTGCTGCAGATGCAACATATGAAGCCTACATACGTCACCTCCACTCTCAGCTTAACCTAAACCTGTCCTCAGCCTCAAACAGCCAAGTTGTCTTCACTCACAAATCCATCCACCAACATGCACCAAACAACTCTCAGAACATGAACGACTGATAATAAAAGGTCTTCACACAGTTAACACGAGTGTACGCAGAGATGTGTAAACTGCCTGGGTGTCCTAACGGGGATGATAAGACCGAGAACCCAGATCGAGGCAGCATCTAAACCAAACTCCCTGAGTGAATAAAATGAGATGAGGGACCTGGACTTATCACACTTCACACTGAAGAAAGCACCACATGGGAAAGAAGCAAAGGGTTTCCCTGAACACATTTATGAGGAAAATTACAGAAACGTCTAAAATTATCTTTCAATATGCTATCAGCCAAACCACAAGTACAGATTCATCCTACATCTAAAATATGAATAATATTTTTAAAAATCATCCGCGTGTTGTTCTGCTGGAACATGCATGATTATAAATTAGGGGAAAAAATATATTTGATTTGTGTGAAATGAGGGAATCTTTGGGAAATTGTGCATAAATCTGGATGACACACCAGCAAAGTGTCTGAAACGGAGACAAACTGCTGCTGCAGGACGTTCTGCTGCTGGCAGACGTCACAAACCACAGAAGGAGAAAGCAGTAGGTGATGATCAGTGGCGTGCCGGCCAGCGGGCGAGCTGGGACAAACCCCAGCGGGCCGCGGTACCAGAGGACCTGTGGATCGTCAGAAAATCCATAAAGTTTTTACTGGGCCTGTCTGTCATCCAGCCCCCCGGACCAGTCCTGAGGATGAATGTGTTTCCCAGGACGGCCCTGATGAGGAGCAGATAGTGATTGCAAACAAAATCAATGCCAGATTCAAAATCAATGCTGTTGTAGTCCTGATAAATGAGAGGACAAAACAAAAGCAGTGCCATGAGATGTTCAAATGCAAATATAAAAGCAGATGAAGTAGGTTTATGGAGGGCTGTCTACCTGATCAGGCTGCTTTTAGGTGTTTTTCATGCAGTCATCTACTCAAACTGTGCAGCTCTCTTAAGCTGAAGTCAGAATAAGATAATAAAATGCTTCAATTCCCCAGTTTGAGTGACACTCATAACGTCATGGATGAAAACATCCATGACGGACTGATTCACTGATATTTAATCTACATTTTCACAAGATAAAACCTGAGAAATCTGAATAACGTTCGTTGGCCGTGAGTCAACTCAAACCCCCTGAAACCCAAACATCCAATAAAGAAAGACGCCACTCGAGGCTGTTATAATTACTATAGTTGTGCTTTCATGTCACCTGTGAGAGGTGTAATTGGATTTTTTTTTTTTTAATGGGAATGAATTGGTGCATTCAATTAGCAAAACAATTCCACCTTTGTTCACGTGCTTGAAAAATAAATGAGGGATTACAGCCAGAGGTGGACAGACGTAATATTAGTGCAATTATCCACAACAGTGCTAAGCTAAAATATTCAAAATGATATTTAAAGGGTGTTTGAGTGTCCAAAATCCATCCATTCATAATATTAATAATAATACTGAATATGATCATCACTCAGAGGAAGCAGCTCTCTGCATGAAGCTGCACACTAAAGATAATTAAAAGAGCCAATAAAACAGTTTGGGACTATATTTATAAGGATGATTCATTTCATACGTCTCCAGACACACACACAAGCAGACAAGTGGTGAAAAAAAAAAAATTACCATAAGTCATTTTGGAGATCAGTCAAAGTGCGAAAGTGAATTTCAATATGAGAGCCGATCTCACGGCGGTTGGTTTGAGCGAGTGAGAGGAGCTGTGCCACCCCTAATTACCAGAGACAGATCGAGATGAGATTATCCAGCTCTCTAATCTGTCTTATAAAGTTCTTATAAAGAGGATAATAGGACAGAGATGGATGGAGCTCCTCGACAGGCGGTTATCACGAGAAGCTGCTGCTGCACATATTCTGATGAAGCACCAATGAGGTTGATCTGTAAACATCAACTGTGCTGAGAAGAAGCAGACAGGACGAGTCATCTGTGAGGATTTGAACACTTCAGTCTATTTCAGGATTATTTTGACTAATATTCTGAGTGAAATTGTTGGTTTCGGGTCCAGTTTCTTGCCACATTGAGCAACCGAGCCACTTTTTTTCCCCCTGGTTATAAAAGTTTTGGGATCAAGTTGTCAACAACAGACATTTTCCACATCTAGTCAAAAAAACAACTGCCATGTGCACCGCGAAACATGTCAGATTGCAGGCAGATACAGATACAGTGAGAATCCTGAGACACATGCAAGTCATCACGGAGGAAAACACAGTCATGAGGTAGAAATTAAACGCTCGCGAAGGTTTCCTGAAAGCACGGCTTCCTCCTAATAAATGTAATAAGTGAGTAAGTGAGGCAGCCTGCCACGGCGAACAAAGGCGCTGTGAGGCTTCGTCGGCGAGCTGTCACTGCTGCTTGTCTGCTGAGGTGTGAAACACAATGGAGACGTCCCCTGTCTGTTTCCATATCAGCCCATTTCCTTCAGATGAACACGCCGGATAAGAAGTGGCAGGCCCGGCCGCCGGTCCACCGGGCCTCCTGTGTGTGGATGTGGGTGATACTACGTGTGGAGCCTGTGGAAAGTGGCACAGTCCGTCCTGCACTTTAACAACCGTATGCCTTAATTTGAAAAAAACCCCTCATATTCTGTGTTTAAACGCAGACACAGACTTTCCACTCTCAGTTTAGATTCAGTGAAATCTATGGTCCCGTTTGGTCGCAGTTTGGAAAAAAAACACTTTTTTGTGTGTGTGTGTGTGGAGAAGACTGAGCAAACAGCAAACTTAAAAACGGGTAAACACCGTCCACAGACAGAGCCTTTTAACGACTGAATGTTGAATCAGCTATAAATACACAGCTATGTTATAATTGTTTTCCTCTGCCATCTAAACCAATGAGTCTAGAGGTCCACTGCGGTACAGTGATGGACCACATCACTGGGAAAATGCACTATACCTCAGAGCCTGGGCGAACTGCCTGTTGAATGCACAACAGCCTCAGCCAAAACACACAGAACCAACTCGGTGTGCTGCTCTGCCTGCACACTGTGTATGAGTGTGTGTGAGTGTGTGTGCAGCAGGCTTTCTGGGTACAGCCATGGCAAAGTTTAAAAATATAAATCACAATGTCAGGAAAAAAGTAAACCATCCCAGCAGCGGATCAGAGACGTGAATGAAATGATGTGAGAGGAGGACGTGCAGCAGCTTGAGCAGGTGAGCGGCCGGCCGAGCTGTGAAACAATCCGTAGTAAACATAAAGCCCTGCCTATTAGAGAAACTAGGTTAACAGGCGCCGCTTTGCACAAACACTTATTGTGCTGCAACCGTGGGGAGATGCACTTAATGGAACAAGAGCGTAATCACAGCTGCTTGTTGTTAGCGTGTCAACCTGTCGGGTCCGGCTGTGAAACTGTCAATACGTGTGTCAATACTCGGCCAGGTGTCTGGAAGCTCAGAAGCATTTTACATATAAAACATGCAGCTCAGAGACAGTTAAAGGTGTTTAGAGTTCATTCAGCATCTTTAATCAGCACTGAACACCACAGTCATGATGTGCATGAGTGAACTTTGCAGAACTGAGAGCAAGTTTTGCAGATATGACTTTTTTTTTTATTGTATTGATGCACAAACAGGTGGAAGGCTGCAGTGACAGATGAAGGAAACACCTCAGCAGCATCACACAACAACATGCACAGAATATATGTGTTCAATGTGCACAGAAATAGAAAATGAATCAGACTTACCAGACATAAACCGCTGAGCAGTGAGATGAGGAGAAAGTCCAGGTTGTGGAGCAGCACAGAGGATCCCATCCCTGACCTGAGGCAGCTCTACCTCCAGGACTCCTGGCAGGCAGGGGGGCTCGAACAGACGCTGATGAAGCTCAGATTAAATTATTTAATCTACTTAACTCTCTTCAAAGTGGAGCGACTTGTGTCTTTTCACTCCATCTGGCCTCTCGGTGCTTATGGCGGCTTGTGAAATCATAACTCTGTAATCGCCTCGCTCTGCCCCCTTCGATTTAATTTCCTATAATCTACTATATGCTCAGGCTCAGCCGGCGCGCTTTATTTCTCTGCATCTGTCTTTTTTCCTCTTCTGAAATTACATCCACATGTCAGAACTATTTATGTCGCTCTCGCTCTGCGGTGGGAAGTTCAAATGATTCTTTGTAGGGAAGAAACCAACGCTGTATTTTTAGGTCTTTTAAATTTCCCCTCAGACTAACTTAAACACTTCAGTATGGAGCCGCGCGCCTTATGGCTTATTCCAGTCCTCTGGTCCAAACGTTAGATCAGTGTTAGACAAAAAGAAAAAGAAAAAGAAAAGAAAGAAAAGCCCAAATTGTATCACTCCATCACCAGTCGCTGTTGAATTTCACAGCTTCATTTCTGCTCTGACTCATGTCCCCATCAACGCCTTCATGCGTCGCGCAGCGAAGCCGCAGCAGCAGCAGCAGCAGCAGCAGCGGTTCTGACGGACTCCACCAGTGAAGGAGCAGCTTTGTGCCAGAGCAGGGCGTGAAATTACCAACTTTTCATACAAGCGATTTGCAACTCAATCAGTGCACCGCCGCTCTCTGCTTTTTATTTTTTTTTCTCTCTTTACGAATTCACCCAAACATCACATGGAAACGTCTCGTCTGTGTTACTTCCAGGAATCGTGCGCAACACGCGTGGCACTTCAGCGGCGAACTGAATGTATGAAACTCGGCTCTGTTTACCAATGGTGATGTAAAAAAAAAAGAGAGAGAGAGAAAAAAAGAGCTCAGAGAAGAAGACAGAAACGCCAACTTGGCTTCAAGAATCTCTACTTACTATCGAGAAAGAGCCAAAGTTCGCCCTGACGGACAGATTACGCGCGGACGCCTGAGTGTTTGTGCGCAAAAGTAAAAGCAAAAGTTGAAGTTTCTCGTGTTGGGAAGCGGCTCCAGATGTGGCAGGCGGCAGGTCGTGTTCAGTAGTGAGTATGTGGATGGAAAAGGGGGGGCGGAAAGGAGGCAGGTAGGGTGGAGCGTCGGAGCCTCTCATTGGTGCGCGCTCTCTTACGTTGGAATAAACCACGACTCCGAAATGACATATTTTCTCACCCCTCAAACAAACTCCACATTCAACAGATCGTAGGGCCTTTGCCAAACCACTTTTTTCCCCTGCAGTCTCTCAAAAGTTGCATCTAGTAGGATTGGATTACCGAGACATAATGCAGGAGATGTTTGAGTCCGTGTGCTGCTCCACTGTTACGCTCCTCAAGCATCTTGAACGTTTAACTTTTTAATCATTGTTAAGATGATTTGCCACGCAGCGTTCATGTATGAGCACTCCCACGGCAGATATTTAATGTAACTGCATACTTCATGATTATTTTTATCATTGTTGTGATAATAATCTTTATTTAAGCAGCGCTTTTCAAACGAAGGCAGCATAAAAATCACCAACATGGTGTTTTAAAACCAGCACACTGTAAGAAGAGCTAAGAACATTACTGGAAAAATAAAAACTAAAATAAACTGATGAAAGGATGTTTTAAGAAGAGAAACAAAAGATGTCACTGACCTCTGCTCCAGGATCTTAAAGTGGTGAAAACGGTATTTAGTGAATTAGTTTCTAAGGACAGAGGCCTTAAAAGTAATGAGTGAAATCTTAGAATCTGTCCTAAAACATACTGAGAGCTCAGAGGCTGAAACGGGAGTCATGTTGGTTTCTTGGTTCTGGTTAAAAGCCGAGTTCTGCTCAGTCTGGAGTCGGTCAACAGATTTCTTGTTCATTCAAGGCTGCTGCAGTAAAACAAACATGATGAAATAATAGCGCGTAAAATGGGCTCAGTGTTTTTGAGCTTAATGTTTTTGAATTATTTCTAAGACGGTAGAGTTTCCTGTCTAACAGACGCCAAGATTCTTTACTACAGGTCTGACGTGATCTAAAAACAAACCAGCTGAGGATAGAACCTGTTTGGTCATTCTTCAAACCAGAACAAGAATTCTGGTTTTGTTCAGAGAAGCAGCACACCAGCCTCAGAGGATCAGGTACACTGGTGTGTCATCAGCATTAAAATGAAAAAAAAAAAAGGAAAAGAAACCCCATGTGCCTGAATAATGAGCCCAAATGGAGGCTTTATAATGGAAACTAAAGTGGTCCCAAAGCCGAGTCCTGTGGCACACCACGCTTCAATTACTGACAGTGGTTTTACCTCCTTGTTGCTAAGCTGAAACAGAGCTGTTTGTATGGAAAATAATCCACAAACCAGTGTTTCCTACAAATTAGATTTTTAAAAAAAATCAAAATCAAAATATGATTTTTCAAATAATTTCAATATTTTTTCCTTTTTAAAAAAAAAATGTCATTATTTCAAATGCATGATTTTAGGTAATTATCTTGGAACAGAATCAAACTGTTTCATCAAGATAATTATGAAAAAAAACATTCTACAAATTTGATTTTTTTAAATATTTTAAAATGTGATTTTTCATATAATTTCAATTTTTTCTTTTTTTAAAATGACATTATTAGTTCAAATGCATGATTTTATGTAATTCTATGGGAACAGTATAAATCTGTTTGTAGAGATAATAATGCAATAAACATTTTCTACATTAGGGTTTTTTTCAAATATTTCAAAATATTTTTTAATAATTTTAGTATTTTTTCTTTATTTTAAAAAAAAAGTCATTATTTCATATCCATGATATTTGGTAATTCTCTGTGAACAGCATCAAACTGTTTAAATGTTATCATGTAGGTTTTGTTGGAGCAAAGGTTTCCAAACACCCAAACAGAACATTAAGTGTGTCTCCAGTGAGATGGTTCACAATCCATTCTGAGTGAGAAAAGGCTGCTGCTGCCGTTTAAAACATGCGTCTCTGATTCAGAAGCTTCTGCTGCTCTGCGGTCAGCGGTCAGTCGGATGTCCTCTTTACACCAACTCATGTGTGAAGACGTCCAGCTGTTTGCTTATGAAACTGCCCTTCTCTCAGCAGCCAGCACAGAATCACAGCCTTGAAAATATTCTGCAGGTCATGATTGTACTTGGTGGAAAACACTGATGCACACAATCAGCTCTGCCTCCTCTGCCGGGCTCTCGCTGCACAGTTTTTGCATGCAAACAACAAACACTTCACTGTGGCAATATGAAAGCAATACTCCAGCTTTTCAACTGATAGTCGGACGATCATTCAGTAATCACTTCACAGGCTCTGCTCTCTGTCAGAGCGAGGCAGCTCACACTGAAAACAGCGACGGTGGAAAAGCTTTCGCTGCTGAAACATAGCGACGGACCATCACCCCGTATGCATTATCCATCAGAGGGAAGAACGCTCCAGCATCAAAGTCCTCGGCCGCCGTGTCCTCCAGCCACACAGAGCGGAGGTTTGGAGGAAAAGCATCTCCACTGAAGTTGTTTACCCTGAAACGGCATCTCATGTTGTTGATAACATGCTCATGTGATGCAGCATCAATTACAGGTGGACTGGAGGGAACACGTGGAGATGTGAGGCCTCCAAAAGCAGCTTGAACTCAGAGCAGGATCGTATTTAGAGCCGAGACCATCTTACTCATATACTCACGATTATTGCTATTAGCAATATGAAAGCTAATAACCAGAATGTGGTAATGGACCAAACCGTAGTCCAAGTTCTGTACAGACAATGGTTACATCATCCTACAACAGGTCCAGCATGGAAGCTTCCTCAGATAGACTTCATTCAGTCTGGTGCTACTGCCCATGGTGGACTTGTGACCATTGTGTGTGGAGATAACCTGTGTCGGCCCACCAGCTGCCAGTCATCTCAGCTCATCAGCCTGGAGCTGAAGACCTGCACTCCGGCCTTGTTCTGCCCGCCTCCGGTCACCTCTGATTGGACCACCACTCCTCCATCACCTAACCCTAACCCTAACCAGCAACCTTTCAGTCAGCGGGTGGGGATTTAGAGTGAACAGTCCATCCTGGTGCCTCTTGGTTTGTGTCTTTTGTGTTTGTTGAAGCGTAACTTCTGTTGGCTGCTGCTAACTCGGTGTTTGGTGTTTGAGAGAGTCTTAGTGAAGACCGACTCCCGTTAGCAGCTGCCCAACTTGGTGAAGAAGTCACTCGTGTCTTGTGTTTTTCGTACTGTGTTTTGAGGCACGAGTTTGTTTTGCTATGTGTGGATGCTGCTATCAGATTTAGGAGTTTAGTTTTCTGTTAGCTAGCTTCGACACTCCGTTAGCCTTCGTTTGGTTCTTAGATTAGTAGCAGCATCCACCATCTTCTTTTGTATTGTCACCGTTCTGTTACGTTCATTTATGTTACTGAGCAATAAATCGCGTCACCTGAACCATTTCCATCTGGTTACTGCTGCATCCAGCTGACCGTAGAGGCTGGATCCTACCAGTAGGAATGTTTCTTCTTACTGTAAACGAATCCCATGAAAAGACCAAAACCAGCAGAAAAATCTAGAATATTGTCAGACTTATAATTGAAGTTCTGGTGAATGATTAGTTTGGAGTTTTTAAAAAAAGAAAAGACAAAACTAAAGCTGCAATCAGCCTCTCAGTTTGTTCTGTGGGAACTGGTTCCTGATCTCAGAGACGAAGACTTCATCATTTTCATAATTAAGAAATAAGAACGATTCAGGACCAACACAACAACTGCACAAGCTTCACTGAAAAAATGCATGTATTATAAAACACCTTGTTTTTCTACAGCATACAGTTATACAGATATTAATATATTATTATTATTATTCTTTTTTTTAACTCTTTCTCTTGGTGAGGTCATGGTTTTACTGTAACAGCATCCTCAGCCTTAATCAGCCCGGCCTGCGTCCCCATCATGAATAGGTTACTCCTGGGGTGAGAGATAATGAACAATATGAAAGCTGTCATAAACAAACAGCAACGCGACGCCACCGTACGTTTGCTCATTTTCCACGCGTCCCGCTGCTTCTCCGTGGGAGACTCCCGATACTGCACAAGCACAACGGTGTTCACGACACATATTTAATCCCCACTAATATCCCATCGCTGTGTCAATATCTGTCTCTCTCTCTCTCTCGGGGCTAAATAAAGCTTTTCTTTTGAAACATTCTCTGCAAAAGGTTAAATGTGGTTTTAAGCCCATTACTGTATCTCCATGCTACTTCTGCTGGCTGCCGCACCTTTTCTTTTCTTTTTTTCCAGCCTGTCTTGTGTCCTCCACCATCATATTTATCACAGAACCACGGTGCTTCTGATCCTTGACAGCCATTTGGAATGATTAATATCCACCTCCAAGTGTCTGTAAGTCAGGATCCATGCACTGCTGCAGTAAAACAGTGTGTCATCCATCAATCCGTCCGTCCATGTGTGCAAAGCAGACGAGTGCTGGTTAACACTGGACGAATACTAAACACTAGGAGGTGATTATTCCCCGTGCCATTTGTGAGAAGCTAAGCGTATGCTCGTAGCCTTACTGTAATTTCCTTACAAAGAGCACATCTAGCTGCAGTCATCGGCTGAATGGAAAGTCAATTTAGACGCTTCTAGTCTTGCATTTACATTAGACGAATAATAGGAGTCGGATGTCAGCGTATTTAAGACCACTTTCCTACGAGTGAGAAACATGCAATCATCCAGGAAGCTGGATAAAGAAAAAGCCAACATATCAGATATTAAACTCCTATGAAGGGTTTTCTTTCCTTCACCCGTCTTCATCTTATTATCGCTCGTTTCATTTGGGGATAAGTTTGTCAAAAATCAAATAACATGAAATGTGCTTCACCCTGAAAACCTTCAGCTATCCAGGAATCTGAAACTGTATATCTGTGTGACTCACTTCCCAAAGTCGTGTAAAAAACTCACGTAGAAATCCAAAGCACATGTATGTTTGGACACACGATAGTTTTCATGTGTTTTTCTGCGCTGACCTTCGCGGACCACGAA